AGCTCTGCCGCTGTTCTGCAGCCCCCAGAAGTGCCTGTTCCTCACAGCACACGGTTCGCAGCCAGTCACCGAGACTTCCTGCAGCACACCCCGACGCCGCAGCCCATCGTGCAGGGACTGTCTGTGGTCGCTGGAGCTCCCGCTCCGACGGCCCCGAGTGCCGCTGAGCCCCTGCCAGCTGTGGTTCAGACTGTGCCTGTCGGTGCCAACTCCGTTCTGACCAGTAACCCCACTATCACCATCACTCCTTCCCCCAGCACGGCCATCCTGCAGTCCAGCATCGTCATGGGAGAGCAGAACCTACAGTGGATCTTGAATGGTGCCGCTGGTTCTTCACAGAGCCAAGAGCAGATGGTCAGTACATCCAGCATGGCCTTGGGCCAGCCTAAGCCCTCCCTCCCAGGGCCCTTGCTGTTGAACAGGGAGGGGGTCAGACCTGTAGCTGTGAGATAAACCCCAGGACGCAGCATTGTACGATGCTTGTCCCAGTGCAGCCCCTGGAAGAGACAGAGAAACACAGCACAGAGAGACTCAGGAGGCAGAAAAGTCTTGCTTTCTTTTCCCCAGTGCTGGACTTCTCCTGGCAGGTATCAGCTTGGTTCATCCAGGACAGGGCACCACCAGGCCTGAGGGTGGAGTGGGATTTAATCTGTTAATTTTGACATGCAGAAGCACAAAAGACTCTGTATAGTTTATCTTTAGGCATTCTGTAATCTCTGTCTGTGCCTAATTTAGCCTGATAAAGACAGTGAAAAGGGTTTTTTTTGAAACAGAATGTTTCTGGTTCTGCAGTAAATCTGGTTAGCTGAGACCTCCCCAGCCTTAGGACACAGCATCACTACTTTGGGATAGCCAGAACCTGGCCCAGTTTCCCTGTGTGTTCTCTCTGGAATATGTGCATAGCTGTTAATAATTTGAACAACAGAAATTTGATTGGAGTTAACTCATACTTTTTTCTTGGGTTTTTTTCCCTTTGAAGCCACAAGTTCCAAAAGTCGTAGAAAAGGTGTTTTTCACCACTGCATTGCCAGTAGCTGGTAACACAGGTAAGTGTGACACTGGGCTGGTTTCACAAAGCTGGTTTGTCTCTCCCTGCTGTGAAGGGATGTAGTTCCACCCTGCTTTGTCTTCGTTTCACCTTCAGGAAGCCCTGTGCAGCAGATTGGTCTCAGCGTTCCTGTCATCATCATAAAGCAGGAGGAGGCCTGCCAGTGCCAGTGTGCCTGCCGAGACTCTGCCAAGGACAAAGCCACCACCACCGTAAAGAAGGAATGTTCCTCACCTGACTCGAAAGCTCTGGAGCAGCCAGCTCCCCAGCATCAGCCTCAGACCTTTCCTTCCTCCTCTGCTCCTCCTCCCTGTGGGCAGAGCAGTCAGATAGTTAACCCTTCAGACTCGCAGACTGAAGCGCTAAGTGCCATGGATGTCTCGGACTTCCTGTCCCTGCAGAGCCCGGACACCCCTTCTGACATGATTCCAATCGAAGCACTACTGCAGGGCGAGGAAGAAATTGGCTTGAATAGCAGCTTCTCTAAGTGAAGATGTTCCAGATTTTCCTTTGCACCTGGAGGGTAAGACCCTTCTTAGAAGCAGAAACTGAAGGATCGATGCTTATTCCTTCCTCTTTGGAAGTTTTGTGGCTTATTTCTGCTTCACAGATGTCATCTTAGTCACGTCCCAGGTACATCCACCTTTGAGATTCTATCTAAAAAAAAGAAAAGGTAAAAAAAAAATGCTAAGTTATATATGAACTGTTTTGGCTGCACTGTCTGTCACTTTTGCTTGTCATATGTGAACACAGAAGTTAAGGTTACTCGTGTGCAAAAAGATTTTGCAAAGGAAAAGGGGGTTGGTTTGTCTCCAATTGCACATCACCTACTTTTGGGTTAAGGTACTGGCAGCAAGCGAGTCTTTGTTACAGCTCTTTGGGTCTCTGGTTTTCTCCTGTCTCTCGTGTCTCTACTAACCATGCACTAAAGGGGAGCCCAGGAAAGGAGGCATTGCTGTAGGAGAGGGTTTGTCCTGTTACAGGACGCGGCGGTCGTGTCCCTGCGGGGAGATGGTGCCTGGGTGTGCTGTGTGCTGATGCTGGTACTAAAGCCTGCGGGGACTTTGGGGGAGTTTACTTCAGCAGACACGTAGATCTGTTTGTTGCTGCCATGTGTGCTGCAGGCAGTGCCACAGCGAGTGCGCGCGGTCGGAGCCACTGCTGGCTCTGCCAGGCTGCAGGGAGTCCCAGGTGTGGTCAGGTTGGTGCCTGCTGCTCTTCTGATTTCTTTGGCTCTGCTCAGCAACACGTCACCTCCCTGACCCCGGGACTGTTGAATCAGGAGCACGGTGCCTTTGCTGGTTACTCTCATCCTTTGTGAAGAACAACTCTAGGAAAATTTCAGAGATTCAGCTTAAGTTTGGTTTGAATTCAGTGACTCTGTCCTCCAGCTGTCCGTAAACACATCCTTTCTCCTGGTGAGCTATATGGTTTCTGCCTGACTCTGCCTCCAGCCCGCTGTGATGCCAGCTGTGTGTGCACGGGGCTGTTTCTTGACTAGAAGACATTACGCAACAGAGTAGTTTTTCATATTGAACTGAGAGTCTATTCTAACCTACTCAGGGTAAATCAATCCAAACCCCCTTCCACCAAAAAGCCTGTAATGTTGCAATAAATGCAGTCTCATTCTAAATGGTTTATTTATGCTGCATTATTTTAAAAGATGTAATTTTATAGTGTTTTATTCATCTTTCTGGCTTTGGCTGTCAGTCTGTTCGTGTTAAAGGAAAGAATATGAAATAGTCTTTATTCAGTTTACAGTGCTGTCAGTAGTGAGAATCAAAGATAATGACTGTAAGCCAATTAGTGGGGAGTGTCCCTGCACACAGTTCAGGAATGCAAACTTCAGTGGGTAGAGATCTTTCACTCTTCGTGTTTGATCAGAGCTGCTCTCTGTACCTTGGGGGAGAACCCTGTGAGTGCCCCAGGGTGATCTGCAGGTGTTTAACCCTCCTGTGACAATGTGCTGTGTAATCTCTGTCTCTGCTGAGCTGAGACAGTGGCTTCAGCGATCTCAGTGCTGTTCCCTTTGGAATGCAGATGGAAAGGGGCTGAAGGGAACTGGCCCTTCCCCTCTTGGTCAGGTATCCTGTGAGGGTGAGTGGCCGTGCCAGAGCAGAGTGCTGGTGTTGGCAGTGGCAGGGATGAGCTCAGCTGACCTGGGGACACACTGGTGGTGTTTCCCGTGGCAGTGCTGTGCAGGGCTGTGGGTCCTGCAACAACAAGGTTTGCATCCCCCAAACATGGGTGAACAGTGTTGTGTGTTGTGTCCTGTAATGGCAATCCCTGAGGGCGGTGATGTGCTGGGCCCTTTGCTTTTCTCCTACAGCTTTGTTTTGTGCTGCAGTTGGGTTCCACAGCAGCAAGAACTGCTTTGAACACCACAGAAATAGTCCCGAGCCTGTGTGGCTGGGACTGTCCTCGCAGGGATGAGTTTCCTGCCAGCTCTCCTGCACAGAGCTGCCCTTGGGAGGGTGGTGAGCAGTGCCTGGGGCTGTGCTGGGGTCCCTCTGGTGCCCCTCGCAGTGCAGGAGTGGTGTTTGAGGGTGTGTGTGTGTGAGGCTCTGCTGCTGCAGGACTGTGGAGATCCCCCTGGAGTTGTGGGGTTTCCTCTGATGGGGACAAGGGTACCAGATGTGGCTGCATTGTGACAGCTGGGGGATCTAGCAACCTCTTCTGAGCCTTCCTGGCCTTCAGGCTTTTTTACTTTTGCTACTTGTGTCTTAGTCCACCTAAAACACACTTCTGGTTGGACCAGAGAGCGTCTTCAGAAACTTTTGTGACAGAAATGAGTAGAAGAAACCACCAAAGTCTCTGAGCTGGGAAGCTCACGTGGAGCTGCAGTGACTGGCACAGCGTCCGCGGTCAACCTCTGCGGTTTGTCTTCACAGCTACTGTTTTCTGTCGGTGTGCTCCAGGAACAGCACTGCCTGCCAGGGCTGTGCTGACTCTTGGGAGCGTTGGGTTTGCCACTGCCCTCGTGGACGTGCATCAATCAGGCTGCAGCTTTGGTGGAGCTAGTTAGAGCGTGAGGGAAGGCAGGAGCAGAGTGTCCTGTGAGCACAGGCTGCGTCCCCACGGGCTGTGCCTCCCCTGCTGCCTCGGGCAGGTGTGTGCTTCTGGTGTTTAGTCGTTGGTCTGTGTGTCTGAGCCTCCTCCCCAGTGCTGTGTGTGCCCCGGGCGGTCAGGACTGTGCTGGCACGGCAGGAGGTCTGAGGGCAGCTGAGCACAGCCCTGGGATTCCTCACCCGGGGAATTTCCTGTCCTCCCCTTGCTGCCCCAGCATTCAGCATATTCACAAACACTTGGTTAGTTGAGGGGAGAGTTTCTGCCCTTGCAGGTCTGGGTAAAGAGTGCTGTGTGTCCACCTCTGCAACCTCTGCATGAACCCCTGCATCAGCTGGAGAGCAAAGCTGCACTGCTCTGGTCATCTGCCTTAAAGCTTTTGCTGGTTTGAGCTTGTGGGGCTTCACTTGGTCACACACAGTGTCTGGATGGGTGCAGGAGCTTAAACATGTAGAGTGGGTGAAGTTACCACGTCGGTAGCTCTGGTCACTGTGCAGGGACCTGAGCAGGCAGACTTAGTATGCAGCTGAGGGCTGGAGAAGTTGCTTTTCGTGCTTATAGGTGATGGAGGGATGGAAAATCAGCACTGATTGAATGCTGGTACGGAATTTCACGGAACAAAGTCCAAGTTGGGCACCGGTGTGATGCTGACTGTGCCCGGGAAGACTAGTCTGCAGAACCTCATACTAGTATCTAAAATGCACTTTAGATTATTTTATCTTTAACCCAATTGCTGCAATTTCCTTTGTATATACTTTCACAAAGTTTATTTTTGCTCTGAGTAAAAGGTAACAGGGGTGTGCAAAGATGAGCACTTAACTTGGTGCCTGTGGCTGGAGCTCCTCGTCCGGTGCTGTGTGTCTGTCTGACAGAGCAGTTGTGCTCGGGAGCTCGGTGCAGTGCTGCTGCCCTTCCCCGCGCCCCAGGCAAATTATGCATCCTTAGCAAACGTCCGATCTATGCAAATACCCCACTGAGAGCACTGTGCTTCGCAGCCTTTTCTCTCACGCTTTCTGGGGCTGCTTGTCCCTGCTGAGGGACGCGCTGTCCCTGGCTGTGTCCTTCC